TTGAAAAAAATAACTTCGTGCCTTGTGTCCCAGAATATAAGCTTAAATAAAGTTTTTCTAATTTTCTCAAATGACTGCCTTGTTTAAACGGAAAGATAATGTAATTGTACTTACAGTCGTTGTAGCRAGGTACGATATTGGTTTTGGGTTTACCATGTTTGAAGATGTTTCACAATTTCCTAAATTCCAATAGCTGGCAAGTTCTGCAGGCTGTTTTTTGGCTTTCACGACAGGAACCCCGCATCATTTTTTGTTCCAGTACACCGCGGTTTATTCGTGAGGCTGGGCTACTAAGACTTGGTTTCCAGTCCTCTTTCGGACAAATTCCCGGCAAGTCGACAAAAAGAAAAAGTTTCATTCAAGGTCTATGAAGTTGGAAAAAGGGCAAATTTCTTGGTTATTTAAAACTACTTTGCTGAAATGAAAATGCACCTTACATCAGCAGGTATCGTAGACTATTCTTTTACTTTATTATTTTCTTTTACCTCTCCTTTTTTTGGTGTTAATGTGATGTGAAGAAACAGAACTTGGCAACGTGAAGCCAAATGACTAAGCATTTTAAAAAAGAAAATTTAGGGAAAGCTGCTTATTTGAACACGATTACTGTGTATTCAAGTCATTTGGCATCTTAATTATTATAAAGAAATGTCATTTTGTGCTTCTAACCGTGTTTATGATGTACCCTAAGCAAGTTTTCTTGATCACATTTCTGATTGTCAGATTGATATCGACTGACGTAAACGTAAAAACTTAAGCTTACTTGCTTGGAGATCAAAAATAACATTATCAATTTAGATAATTACCATTTCATCTTTTATACTATTGCAAGATAAAGAGAGAACGGCTTTTAATATTTGACAATATAAAGTTGCATGTATAAATGTTCATGAGTGCAATATCCTGGGAGCAAGATGTTGAGCTCAGTGATTTTAATACTGATCWTTCTGTTAAGTGTTTATGTTTTATATTTCTTTTCGTTAGCTGGTATTCTAGCACTTCTTGAGGAGGGTGAATCAGATCTTAAGGTATGTTTTTCAATGATTATATCTTAAAAATTTCAGAGTCAGTGAAGTTCATATTTTTATGATTGGGTTTGTGTATTTATACACGTAGATGTGGTGCAACAATATATATTATATTATTATAATATATTCTAATATATATTTAATGGTGTTTAGGTTTATGCCCTTGATAAACTCAATGCTATTGTTGATGACTTCTGGGCTGAGATCTCAGAATCTGTCGGCAAAATGTAAGTCAAGGATTGCAATGTGTTAATTTGTTGTAACAGTGTTGTCTAATATGTTATAAAACTGAATATTGTCAACTGTAGGCTCTTGTAGTCCTGATTTGCAGAACAATACATGTTACCAATAACTTAATAAAGTTATTTTTGTTATTACTGTCGTTGATAGTGAGGTATTATATGAAGATGAAACTTTCAAACATCGGCAGCTATCAGCCTTAGTTGCATCAAAGGTAAGCTTCAAATTGTTGGATAGAAATAGATAGCATACGTACTGTGTATTTTACACATTGGGAATAACTTTGTATTTTCTTGAAGGTTTACTACCATCTTGGWGCATTTGAAGACTCTTTGATGTATGCTCTTGGTGCTGGTCCTCTTTTTGAYGTAAATGGACATTCTGAATATGTAGAAACCACAATAGGTACAGTTCTTTACCACACATCATATCAAGAAAGGTCCAATTAACAGATTCTATATTCTACCTGTTTTCTTCAGCTAAGTGCATCGATCATTATACACAGCTCAAACAGAAGCAGGCAGAAAACCCTGATGAGAAGGTTGAAATTGACTCTCGGTTAGAGTCCATCGTGAATAGAATGTTTGAAAGATGTTTTGACGATCACAAATTTAAACAGGTAAATTGGCATTGATTCATTTTTGAATTGAATACATATCTAAACATTCTTTATGTCTGCTKTAGGCTGTTGGTATTGCAATAGAGACTAGAAGACTGGATATTTTTAAACAAGCAATTCTCAAATCTGTGAGTACAAAATGTTCTTTTTCTTCTTTTCTTTCATCTGTTTTTCCATTATAACTTTGGATTCTTCGACAGGATGATATCCAGGGAATGTTGCGTTACAGTTTTAAAGTGTGTATGACACTAGTTCAAAGTAGACAGTTCAGAAATGAGGTAAAGGAAGCTTACTTTGTAACCAGTTATATGTACATGAATAAGAATATGAAACAGTCATCATTACTGACAAGTAATTCTTTTGCCTTGTAGATTCTAAGAGTGCTTGTTAAACTGTATTTAGATCTAAAAACTCCAGATTACATCAGTGTCTGTCAGGTAACTATTTTTTAAGAAAACTGTACTTACTACATGTGTATATTACAGATATTACAATGTTTATGCTACATACTAATAAGCTGAAGTGTATAACTTATTGTTTTGTTTTTGCTCTTGTCCATAGTGTTTTATATTTTTGAATTATCCACAAGGAGTAGCAGATATTTTAGAAAARCTTGTCAAAGACAATGAGGTARCCTGACTTCCATYAAAGTTATCAGAAACCTTTAGCTCTAAGGTTTCAATCTTGTTTGTTTGATGTTGTTTTTTGCACCATCTAGTGACTTTGGATTATATGTAATTTGTTTCTTTCTACATTTTGTAAATGTATTTTCACCTTGTTTCTTTTGTGCTTTGATTTCAACTGTTACCTGTTGCCACAGAGGTTTTTCATTATTAAACATATATACGATATATATACGATATATTTATCGTATAATTATCTATGAAATACCTGCATATATTTTTCAAAAAGTTGTTATTCACTAATAACATGTTATTTCTTTTCAACAATCGAAGATAAAATCTGTATCTCCGTGTGCCCATGTAATATTCTATAAAATTTTGCGTTTTCAGAAGGACCAAACGTTAATGGCCTACCAAGTAGCCTTTGATTTGTATGAGAATGCTACTCAGCAGTTTCTATCAATTGTAAGCCAAGCTCTTCAAGCTTCAATACCTTTTGCATCCAGTGGACCCAAAGTAGACAGTAAAAATGATAAAAATGGAATTTCAGAAAAAGATGGGTAAGTAAAAAACATTAAAGCATGAACATGTTTGGGGAGCAAGGATGGCCGAGCGGTTAAAGCTAAAGCCGGTCTATCACCGCTGTGGTCCTGGTTCGATTCCCGGTCCGGGACTATATGTGATTTGAGTTTGTAGGCTGGTTCTCTTCCTTGCTCCGAGGGTTTTTCTCCAGGTCCGCTGGTTTTCCTCCCTCAGTCAAAAACTAGCTGTGAGGAGTGTCGTGTAGTAAAATAATGAATGTTGAGGTAGTGAGTATGAGTGAATATATAGAGGGCCACAAGTTTATTAGTCTAGAGACTATTACGTGCTACCCTCTCAAAATAAAAGACTTTATTTATTTTTTTATTTTAACATGAGTTGGTATCCTTGTCTTGTCGTTGTCAAAATCACTTGTTTACAAGGCGGTCTTAACATTCTGACTTGCATTATGCAAAATGTTATGTAAATACAAATATTAATAATTGTCACTTATTACTTGACTATTATCTTTGTAGTGATGCACCAATGGAAACAGATGAATCTGAGAAAAATGCCGTTTCTGATAAATCGAAATCAGAAGTTCCTTTGGTAAGGACAATCTATTGTATCTTATTGATTGAATGATTGTTTTTTGATCAATTGATTGATGGAGTATAGAATAAATTGATGTGTATTTGGAATTATTGATTGTTTTAATGATTGATTAATTTTTATTTTATTTTCAGAGTGAAACTGATAAGGCACTGCAGGACAAAATCAATAAGTTGGTAGCAATACTTGGAGGTGATACATCAATTGCTTTAAACCTTGAATTCCTCATCAGAAACAATCATGCAGATTTGCTTATACTGAAAAACACCAAGGTATAGTAAGATGATAGTGAATKTGATAGTGAACAATTATTGATTGACAGGAAAAGATATTTAGTTGATTTATTATGGAGAATGCACACAAGATCATCGTATTTTAGCACCAATGTTTGTACTAGTTTTGTTTCATAGATTATATATTGCATCATTTATTAATCATAAACTAAGGTACTATTACACAGGTTTAGTAATGTGGTTTTGTCAACCATTGTATGGTTCAATAATCCTTTTACCTCAACAGGATGCTGCAAGAAATTCAGTTTGCCATATGGCTACTGTTATTGCCAATTCATTCATGCATTGTGGAACAACTAGTGACACATTCCTAAGGTAAATGACTGGTACTGAACTAAGCTGCATTTGCAATCTAACCATTTAAATATAAAATATTCAATTTAAATGGAAAGAGTTTACAGCAAGATGTTTCAGTGATCTCCTTGACAGTAATTTTTGTWATCTTTGCAGAAATAACCTTGAGTGGTTAGCAAGAGCAACAAATTGGGCCAAGTTTGGTGCTACAGCCAGTTTAGGTGTTATTCACAAGGTTTGATATCCTTCTTACTAATCAACAATAATATAATTATGAATTGTTGATAAATGACTGAATTCTAAAATAGATTAAAGTCATGATGACCAATAAATTGTCATGTTTTGTTGTGTAGGGTCATGAACTAGATGCTCTCAAACTCATGTCTACATATTTACCTAAAGATGGCAGYGGYGGCAGTGCATACCAAGAAGGTGGTGGTCTTTATGCACTGGGTAAGTGTAACCTGACTAGTGTTTCTCCCATTGTTAAGATGCTAAGCAACATTGTTTGTTCTCAGGTTTAATCCATGCTAATCATGGTGGTAAGATTACAGARTATYTAYTACAGCAACTCAAAGAAGCCACCACTGATGTAAGTTAATGCACCCAGAATTAAACTATTACGAGCAACATTGTAAAGAGATTAYTATTGTGTTTTGTTATTTSTTTAAAAGATGGTTCGYCATGGAGGTTGTCTTGGTCTTGGACTTGCAGCAATGGGCACAGAGAGACAAGGTGAATTGAGGCATTATAATTRATTATTTTATATCATGAGAAATGGTGCTTTAAATCATAAATAAMATGACATTACATGTATCTGTAAAATAATAATAATAATAGTTTATTTTAAACATTCTTTTGCAGATGTATATGAGCAACTTAAGTTCAATCTCTATCAAGATGATGCTGTGACAGGTTTGTTTTACATCAAGGCACTTCTAATAGAGTACAGAACATATTAGATTTAATGGTGTCCAATGTGCTACATAGGTGAAGGTGCAGGACTAGCCATGGGACTTGTCATGTTGGGATCAAAGTCAGCAGCTGCCATTGAGGATATGGTGGGGGTAAGTACAAATAAAACAATTGCTGAATGAAATCATATCAATTTATTGTATAATTCTAAATCTGTGTTCATTGTTTGTAGTATGCACAAGAGACACAACACGAGAAGATTCTAAGAGGTTTAGCATTGGGAATTGCATTGGTAAGTCAATTGTATGGCTTTGCTCAACTCTAATTGAGCTTACTGTCCAACAAGTCCACCTCCACCATAGCTTTCTAGTCTCCTCAGGGTAGTGATACTCAATGTGATGTGAGCCTTTGTTATTCATGTGCCAACCAGAAGATGTTAGAACAAAGCGACTTGTGAAAAGTTATTCTGATCATGGTTGGCACATTAACATAATTAGTTTGTTGATAAACATTGAGTATCGCTATAGTATTGTTTATATAATGCATTACATAATGCATTGTTCTCTGCTCACAGGTCATGTATGCAAGAATGGAAGAAGCTGATGCTTTGATTGAAAGTTTAGCTCAAGATAAAGACTCCAACCTTCGTCGAAGTGCAATGTATACTGTAGCCATGGCATACTGTGGAACTGGCAACAATAAAGCTATYAARAGACTACTCCATGTTGCTGTAAGTCCTGACAATAAAGATGCCTTGAGTTTTRTRACTAACTTCATGTATATTTATCTATGTTAGGTAAGTGATGTAAGTGATGATGTCAGACGAGCTGCTGTCACTGCTCTAGGATTCTTACTATTCAGGTAACAATGTAGAGTGCATGTTTGTTTGTAGTTGCCTTATTATTTATCTCAAGTCTGCTTTACAGAACACCTGAGCAATGCCCAAGTGTTGTGTCCTTATTATCAGAAAGCTACAACCCTCATGTACGATATGGTGCAGCCTTAGCCCTTGGTATTGCCTGCGCAGGAACTGGTCTCAAGGTTTCATAAACTTGTATAAATCACTTCATGACTAAGTAGAATGCTAATTCCATTATTTGTATTATTTTCTCAGGAGGCTATAAATCTCTTGGAGCCAATGACAAATGATCCAGTGAATTATGTCAGACAGGTATTTAACTGACATTCTTATCAAGATTTTATCATCGTCATCATCTGCATAATGATATCCCTATGTCATTCCTCATGCCTTATTTGTTAATCATTGTTTTCAGGGTGCATTGATAGCCAGTGCCATGATWCTAATCCAGCAAACAGAACATACTAGTCCTAAAGTCACAAAGTTTCGTGAAATATATTCCAAAGTAATCAGCGATAAGCATGAAGATGTCATGGCTAAGTTTGGTGCTACCCTTGCCCAGGGGATTATTGATGCTGGTGAGAAGAACTATATAAGAATTATATGTTTGTTGCAAAATCGTGTTATGAAGTTATATACAAGTACAGGTCGMATTATATAAACTGATTTACACTTTCTTTTACAGGTGGGCGTAATGTAACAATTTCTCTCCAATCACGTGCTGGCCACACCCATATGAGTTCGGTGGTTGGTGCTTTGGTATTTACACATTACTGGTTCTGGTTTCCTTTGTCGCATTTCTTATCACTTGCCTTTACACCAACTTCCATTATTGGCCTCAACTCTGATTTAAAAGTGAGTCAAAGATGACTTCGTTTGTAGTTTTTGTTTTGTCATAATGGCTTAAAATAATTGTACTTTTTTTTCAGATGCCTAAGATGCAATTTCGATCAGGTGCTAAGCCATCGACCTATGCTTATCCCGAGCCTTTGAAGCCACCCAAGAAAGAGGAGAAGGAAAAGGTACTAATATATCGAAATTGTTTGTTGTTTTGCGTCTAGTTTGATAGCTTATTGGTTCTTTTCAGGTTACTACTGCAGTCCTGTCTGTTACTGCTAAGGTTAAAGCAAGAGCTAAGAAAGCAGAAGGAACTGAAGAAAAGATGGAAGTGGTATGGCTTAACTATTGTTTGATAGCTAGGAAATAACTTTGTTCAGTGTTGATAAAGGATTATAGTTGGTTCAATGAACGTATACATATTTCATTGATGAAATTGGTGTACAAAAACAATTCGAGTATTGTTGCTTCACAGGATCAAGAATCAACTCAAACCAAGAAAGAAGGCAAAGACGCAGAGAAAGTAAGGACTTTTGTATAGTGTGGGTAGATTAGAACAGTCTGTTTTAAAAAAAAGACAGTAATAAGTTTTCAAAAGGTTTTAATAAATTCGTTTGATTTTCAGAAATCAGATTCCACACCAGCAAATGCAAAAGAAACTGAAAAGTCAAAAGAAAGCGAAAAAGAAAAAGATGAATCCGTTACAGAGAAAAGTGAAAAAGAAAAGAGCGAAAAAGAGAAAAGTGACAGCACAGAAGCACCAGCCGATAAACCAGAACCAGACTTTCAACTCGTTGATAATCCAGCTAGAGCAATCACATCACAGGTATACATCCCTATTTCTTAGTTTGTTTTGTGTAATGACTGGTTTTGGTGGTTGCGTTGGAAGTATTTTCGTAGTGAGTATTGTTAGGAAAKTAGTGGTGKGGTCTTTTTCAGACTCTTGATTATATCAGTTACAGGTCATATGTCACTGTTTTTGTCTTTACTAAATGTTTTATTGTATTGATCAATGGACTACAAACTTTCTATTTACTAGTTGAAAGTTATAAGTTTACCACAAGATGCCAGATACTTTCCTATGAAACCGGTAAGGCAATAAACATGAGTCAGTGTGCATGATATCGTGTGAGAGAACGGATTCCTGTACTTTTTAAAGTACATATAAAATACATATTAAGATATAGAATATTATAGATAATTAATATATTTTTTTCAGTGTCATACGGGTGGTATTATCATGATGACGGACTCCAAGTCTGATGAACCGGAAGACCTCATAGAACCATTGCCAGGTCAGTAGTTAGCTATCACGTGATCARAAAAATATGTCGAGTGTTTGTCTCTAATGTTAGCCTTGCTTTTCTTCTCAGCATCTTCCACCTTGGGTCTTGAGGAAGAAGAAGACGAACCTGAACCACCTGAGCCGTTCGAGTACACAGACGAAGACTAGTTTATGAAAATGTCAAATCGTTGTTTGTGGTGCTACATAGATGTTCAGCGGCATGTAGGATGGCCGTGGTACATGCGCACTAGAATACTGTGTAAATTGATAAATGTTAAATGATGCCCGGTGTCGTCAATAAAGTATGTTTCATGTATATTACCATCAACTGTTCTGGTGTTTTTTTATAATGACTCCTTTATTCCTGGTCTGGACATCTGTTCCGTCGTTCTYGCCCTGAGGCTTGACCTTCCATAGTAAAACTAACCCTGAGGAATGTTGGGTAACATTTTAAACTTCAAATTTTGACTGTTTTCTTCACTTATCATGAATACCGTTTAATTTGGCAAACGTCTTGATTTACGAGATTATGATTATGATTAATCAACGGTCCAAAATCCAAACAGAGCACTCTTTTCTGTTTCCCAATCAACTTCGTTATGTTTGTCAACAGTCAACATTGCGGAGGCAGACTCAGGCTCTCAATGAACTAGTTCCTTTATTAAATGATTTGCCGACATGACAAACCAGCTAACACAATTGTTAGCGGGACCAACAGTGAGTTGACATGAGAATAACAGCTTTGTCTTGTGAGTCATAGCGAATAAAGAAATACCGAACCATCCATAGACACGTCCCGTCATTCTCATGGACTTTTGGTCGTGATCTCTCACTGTTTGATTAAAAAACATGAAGCGAAATATCAATTTGATAGTTTATTGCCTACTGAGAGCTCCCTGGGACTTGGCACAAAGGAAAGAATAGCCGAATTAGAACTTAAAAAAGACCGGAATTTTGTTTTTCCTAGTATTAAAATTAAGATGAAAAACTTGTACTTATCGCCAGCTGCGAGAGACCTCCATTGCTCCTCTTTACTTTGTGGGCCATAAAATACCTTATTMAATAAAATGAGGTTTTTAAAAGCCTTAACAAAGTGTTTTTTAAGTTAAAAAACAATTAAAATCTGATCAATAMAATGAAATTCCTTTCTCTTGAACTACTTTTTAAATGAATGAAATCCTATATATTGTTAGTWTTATTTAATCCTCTAGATCAAATAATTGCACCACTTTTCGCCATTTTTGCGTCGTTATAGCTTACTAATAAATCATTAATCACAAGTGTAAGAATTTACTCAAGATTTTATATCATTTGACASAACCGYTTCAAATCCAGACACACCGAGTTCTGCATGACTATAAATGTTTTCGTTGTACCTGCAGCACATGTATAGGAATAACTTTTTTACTGATCCCTTGTCGAGAAAAAAGAGCATTAACCGAAACCTGCTGTTATGGCTGTGCTTTTACCCCACCCATAGGCCAACATTGTTACGGTAATCCTGAGAGCTCGTGTAACTTGATTCGTGCCGCCTTGAATCGAAACTCTGCTAAGAAAAAAATCTTAGTCTTGACGTAACGTATCTTCACAGCCGAAAAACTCTTGACAGCACGCCGTGTAGTCCTGCCATCATCAGCCTGACAGGGTCATGTTTTGATGCAATTTTGCTGGACGTCATTCTACTCGTAGCACATTATACACCAAGGGTTTCCATCTTACTTCAGAATGAGGTATGAATTCATTTTTTCACGGGTAATCATACATTATCTGTGTTTGAAGGCAGCATGCTATACTTTGATTTCTTCTTATCGACGCGCCGATGTTGAAAAGTATTCTGACAACTGTATTCCAAAAATGTGGTCCAGTGAAACCTTGAATAGTCGAATGAGTGAAAAGCAGTCACCTCTGGATCAAGCAGTGGRTTTTTTGTGGGAACCCGTTTCCTTCTGTACAAATTTCCAACATCAATTCAGCARTCTTCGGATGGAATCGTTTTCTTTGGATAAAAACAGACCTGACAGTCAAAGAGAATCCGGTTTTCTTCAGTTTTTGAGGCGTCTYTATATTTTTCTACCTTTGTAAAGCTACGTTAAGTCTATRCACGTCATATTCGCGTCTGACCCAGGCATTATGCTCTGCTTGAGACATAGCAGYCAGAGTGTGGAGACTGTTCGACCGAGCCAAAGAAAAAAAAGAACATGGCGTCTACCAAAAGATTGCGTCAACAGATTTAAACTTCAGTTATCTATMGACAATATTCACCATAATATTCTGATGATCTTATAAATTCCTCCACTGACCGTTATCTGTTAACAACATCAATTAATTAACTGCTTTTAATTACTTGAAGGACGTCTTTTTCATGCTTATAACCGAGTAATCTGATGAGGTCAAATGTGTCATCAATATTGGCTATTCAATGCAAATAGAARCGTAGTAGCGCAAATAAGAAAATCTTTGAGTATCAGTTAGTAACTCTTAACAGTCATCGCGTCATAGTATAACGGCCAATACGTTGGTTACTTTTCAATTGACTTTTTGAAGAAATGCAATAATATACTTTTAAAATTTGATGTTTTGTGTTTGAGTGAGTGTTCATTCTTTAAAGGGTTCATGTGTGTGGTAAACTGGTATGTTTAGCTCTTTTCGCGACATTATCCAGTGCCGGGAAGCTACCAGTACAGCATGTAAAACAAGTCAAAAAAGGTAAGAAATGCAAATGGACCGGGGTTGGGAGAATTTRTTGAGAATATTTTCGTAGCTTGCAAAAATCCTTCTAATTTCCTAATCTTAGTTACTGCAGAATTTTTTAATACTTATTTATCTCTTTTTGTTACTAGTACTTTATTTTGTTAAGTTTAAAGCAAATGAGCAATATAATAAACAGTTTCAGTTTCAGCATTATAACATATGATTTTTTTTTCCGTCAGCGAACTCAAGTTCTCCTGCTAATCAATGTACCTTCAACACAGTGAAATATAACATATCTCAGACATGGTATCCACTGCTACTGCCATATGGATATTTTAGCTGCATCAAATGCACTTGTACTATGGTAAACGAAAACTGTTTCAATATTTATTGAACGCTGTTAGCAATCAATTACGTCATATCATCTCCACCTAAGTTATTTCAGTCCTTTACATCAGATTTAGCTTGAACCAAGAAAATTATACTTGAAAACATGTTATCTTTCTTTTATAAGCCGCCACCAAATTTATTCCGTATAATAATAAAATTAAAAAACCCCGAGCATCCGCCCACGCGCTCCCCTAGACTAACAGACTTCCGTTATGGGCTTTAAATGTCTGCGTCTACTTGAGACGAAGTTCGATTCAGTACTCCGTAGTGTGTGACATTGTTTCACCAATGAATTCTTATCTCACTGCTTTTAGTTTAATGGCAGTGCTAAAGTGGTATGCAAGAARAAACAATGCAACAAGAAAAACTGTTCAAACGCACATATCATTGCTGGGGACTGCTGTAAAAAATGTCCAGGTATTTTTAGCTATAATTTCATCAATCTATCCATAAAACATAACCTATCTTTCTCTTGATAGGACCATCCAATGGTCAGCCAGCAAATGCCAGTCCATGTACTTATATSGGCAAAACGTATGCTCATGGATCGGTTTGGAGAACCGCTGATCCCAACGATGTTGATCTTTGTACGGAATGCAGTTGTTCGGTGAGTAAATATCAGTGTAGTTATAAGACATTGTCATTCAATGTCATATTAAAGTTATGTGCATACCCTACTCCTTATTACCTCTCCTGCATCCACAACTTATGTCAAATCGTCGTTCGTAGCAGTCAAGGAGACAAACTATAAGTAGCAGACTGGAGGGGTAATTTGTTTTCAACGCCCAGGCTTTTCATGTATTTGATCAATAATATTTGCTACTATCACAAGTCTTTCTTTTTTAGGATGGTTTTGTATCATGTGCAATACGAATTTGCCCTAAAATAAACTGCAGTCGAACAATAAGTATTCCAGGAAGCTGCTGCAAGCAATGTATATCAAACAGAACAAAGATGATTAACAAATCAAGTACAAATRTTACTTATTTATTGTTTATTAAGACTCTTTTTCTATTCCTAAACAGCACAAAGCAATCGTWTTTAGGAACTGATAAATTRTTTCAYCATTTTTGCAGGATGTGATTCTCTTGGTCGTTATTACCAGGAAGGTGAACAATGGTATCCTCTTTTGTCATCGTATAAACATAAATGCATYATTTGCACTTGTAAGGTACTTATTTTCACTGCTAAAACACTGTTATCAAACACAATATCGTTACGTATATTACAATATTTTTTTCTAACTACAGAACTCAAAGACTCACTGCAGCAAAGTATCATGCAGTAACTCTAATTGCAACAAGAAATGCTGTAAAAAATGCAAAGGTATCATCTTTATTTTGCTTTACAAATAATAATGGTGAATCATCCAACATATYATTTGGTGATATAAAGAGGCTTTAAACTCCAKTCAACAATACGTAACTACRTCAAACACCATCAACAAGATAGCCAAACTGTTTGGATCGYACAAAATGCAACGAGAATGTTCACCGATGTTGCATGGTGTTGCTGATTTCTCCTTTGACCGATGCATATACACTGATATTACTACGATCTAATTTTTGCACTTTTTAAGTTCCAGTTCCCACGACAGTACTACCAACGACCAAGAAACGTAAAGTGCCCAAACAACACGCGAGATTTCCTCACTGCTACACAGGAAGACTTCACAAACATAACACAAGCTGGACACCWATTGTTGACCTGGCTTTTGCCTGCGTGACCTGCAAATGTCTGGTATATTGCAATCTATGTTTATCGCTTTTTTTTGCAGTCGCGTGAATATTTTAGCCAATCATAACAATTAACTAAAAAGACTGTATGTGTCTGATGCCACGTTGAGCAATGTTGTTTCTTGTTCGCAAGGTTTCAAGGGAAGGTAGCATCGCAACCTTCTTTTTTCCCTTTACGCCTTGCAGGATGAGAGGGAGGACTTGGGACAAATCCAACGAATCACGTGACAGCTACTTTTGTTTTTCAGTATTCACGCGTCAGTTGTTCGCGGATTATATGTCCTCAAAAGTATCCTTGCCGCAACCCTATTCAAACGGTTGGCCAATGTTGTAAGCAATGTAAAGGTAAGCTAGTACCACAATTAAAATTATAGTATTGAAATTCGACTGAATAAAAAAACCCTGATATATACATGTGACTGTGCAATGCAATCACAGCACTGGTCCGACGTTAGCCGGTTTTCATTTGTTTTATATCAAGAGCTTAGTGTTGTCACATTTGCTTATGCTAGAACCCTCTTTAGTTTAAATTGAGAGGGATGCTTAGGAAAATACAATGCATAACTGTGTGGTTAATAGAGAAACATTGAAGATATAGTACGTATATAATCCCAGTATAACCCGACCATAATATATCGATKCTGTTCGTACGTGCTTTCATTCATTCACGTTCAATACATAGGTCAGTCCCCGACTAAAGTGAAACTGATTCGATTAGGATGGAAAAACAAGCGTCCATGTGGCTCAGGGAATGCGTGGAGAGTTTACGAATACAGCCCAGGGAATCAAACACGAGGAAAAACATCATTCAGTAATCAAATACACGGCCACTTCATCTTAGAATCGACAATCAAAGACAAAGTTGAAGTRCACACGTTTCGTGCCAACAGGACTTACAAGCATGTCCGTGTACAAGAAATGTACAAAGCTGATTTGCAACGATGGAAGAACATGTCTTCCCCAACAATGAAATTACGTGAAATTGGGATCATAAAAGATGGTAAATAAACTATGACTGGGCACTCGATACATATGTATGTATTTTCAAAATCCTGCGCGTCACGTCAATTTGAAACTCTGTTTTTATTTCAGCAAGAAGAAAAAAAATGGAAATAAGGAAGCAAAAGAAATGCACGAATAACTGCATTCAAGTGGTAAAAAACTTGATCCAAATGGTCCGTTTACGCAGCCGATGGTGTCGGTCACCTAAACCTTTTGGTCTCGAGATGCTTGACCGTCCAGGAAGCTCCTGGAAACTTCTACAAAGCCTGAGCTAAAACTCTGAGGAATTACCATAGTTTATCGTTAGTGGAATAAAGTAATATTGGCGAACACAAATACAGGCCTTGAGAATCGCGTTTGGATTTGATTAGTGTTCGCTAAGAGACCAAATAAGTGCTTTATTTCATTAATAAACMCTTTATAGTTACACATCCTCGGACCAATCCAAGCAAACCAAAGAACAAATCTAGATAACAAATATACAAAAAGTAGCTCGAGGATCATGAAAGATTCGCACAAGCTGTTTGAATGGAAGTTCTTTTCACCGAGAATCATAGTAGATGTACCGATGTAAATTGCGTTGTACTTAGACAAAATAAAGTATTTATTGTTGACGCTGTTAGTGTTACAATGTAATAGTCCAAAGACCTGTAATACCTTTTAATATTCACGGATCAAAACATAACTGTTCAGTTTCTGGCGTTTTGGCATTTAAAATTCAGGAGTATGTTTCAAACAACACAGTGTTTGTAGTGGCTTTGAAGAAAACCGTCACGAAATGATAATAACGGTACTCCCATTTTAAATTACCTCGATTGAGAATATTACGTTTAAACTTGTGTTTCTCCATTTCATAAAATACTTCCATGTAAATCTCTTTCAGTTTGCGATTCTCCCTTCATTGAACACAGATTTTCAATTAAAAGAAGCGGTAATGTAGCATTGATTAACTTGGCAACAAAACTGATAAAGTCAAAGGTTCTGTTTCAGGATAATGAAATACCAAATATAATTATCATAGTTAGAATTAAATACGACATTTTTACAAACAACACTACAAAAGAGATCTCATTTGCAGTAAAATGAATAAAAATATAGTTTCATCAAAATTGACATGGAGTCAATGGGCATATGTACCATTTCAAAGGCTATTTGACATCGGATTAGTCATGTCACCGTTACATTTTTTGAAGATCATATCAGAATGTAGAATGTGCATGTTCACAATCAGTTTGGATTTCGTCAGATCGTTTAGAAATTTGGTAAAGTTCATTTATCTGAACGGCCACTTCCAGACCCTCAGTTATATGACATGCAACAGGAATCCCAGTCGAATTAAAACTGTCCCGGTTGAAACTGCTGATTGGTGTTGAATTGCTGTTGCTGTTGAGTGAGGTCTTGAGGGGCTGGCGTCGACAATTGTCTTTGAAACTGAGTTATGTCCTGGGATACCTGTCTCTGTAGTCCAACATCAGCTGGTGCAGACAACTGTCTTTGTAAAGTGATATCATCAGTCGTAAACTGGTGCTGTAGGTTTAGATCTTGATTTCCACCACCTACAGAACAAACAAAAATAAATTACTTGCTTTGCCTGATGAAACTGTTTAAAAATCCGTATCAAATATCGACAGGTTAATCCTTGAATATGTACTTTAATTAGATGACCCAAGTCCAAGGTGAAGTGATTCATAGTAAACGAAATTGAACCTGAATTTCACATATGTTAAACATTGATGACATCAAGCATTTTACCCGTGAATTGCCGAAGTTGTCGCATTAACTCTTGAGGCATCTGTTGTTGTTGTTGCTGCTGCTGTTGCTGTAGTTGTTGTTGTTGCTGTAGTTGTTGTTTTTGCTGCTGCTTCTGTTGTAAGGCAAGAATTTGCTGCAGTCGAACTTGTTGTTGTTGTTGCTGCTGTTGTGCTTGTTGCATCGTAACTCGATTCACAGCTTGTTGCTGAAACTGCGATGTTTGTTGAAGGTTTGGATGACCACCCTGTGAGGTCATCTGATGTTGGTGATGGGTGGAGGCTTGTTGGCCTTGAGACTGGTTTTGAATGGCATGTTGAAGAGTAAATTGTTTTTGTTGTTGCACCTGCTGTTGTTGCTGTTGTTGTTGCTGCTGTTGAACTTGCTGAGGTTGCATTGGAGGTCTTGTGAGTGCATGGGAGACAGCTGAGCCTACTGAATGACCAGAAGTTCATTAAMATCTATTGAAACTGTTGTTTATGAAAAAAAGGTGGGTTAAAACACGTCCATTCACTGATTCGCCCATCTACTCACCCTGATATGTCTGCGCTCCGTAGGCGTTTGCAGTATTACTCATTGCTGTTGTGGCCAAACCAAGCGAGGTTGGGGTGGATGGCGTTGATCCATGCATCGATGTCACTTGTCCTCTGTTGGGGATTTGTAAACTATTTGGTCTTTGAGATTGGTTGAAGCTGTAATTCTGTTGGGTCTGTCCTGTTTGTATCTGAAATATGAATCAATCAACAGGCGACATTCGAGTGACGAAAATCGCTACATTTAAATTTGAACACCTGGCTACACAAGGAATAGGAAAACTCTCTTCCTTACACTTTACACTGCATGCTCAACCAGCAATGTRGTGTGAAAAATCTCAGTTACGTAATGGCTATAATAAGATATAACTATAATACGTACCGTTGCTTGTGGCTGCGGCAGGTGTCTAAGCTGTTGAGTAGGTTGTTGCATTTGTTGTGTTGTTCGCTGCAATTGTTGTTGTAAATTATACAAAGTTTGCTGAGCTGTTGGTCCYTGTTGCTGTTGCTGCTGTTGTTGTTGCTGTTGCTGTTGAAGAAATTGTTGGAACATKGATGTAGATGAYTGGTTTCTGTTCTGTCCCATCGCCTGAGGTGTCTGTCCACGATTGACGAGAAGAGACCTTATCGTTGACTTGGTATCTTGAGCTGTTGCCATTCTGATTTCATAACAAAAAGCTGATTAACATGGATGACTCATGAAAATAATCACAACCATATTGATCAATTGAATTACACAGAATCTATATCATAAACATATTAAAGGTTATATATAAATAGGTGTGTTTCTCGTGCTGGTAGAGAAGTATGTTTTCATTGTTTTCATTTGAAGGTGTGAAAATAGGTTGAGCTTCCCTGTACATGGCACAACTGAACTCGGTTGATGTCCTTACTTCATATCCGCTCTGCCTACACCACTGACTGCTCGTCGTTGTCCGTCTGTATGTGTGACTTACATAATCAATTTCTATTTTATTTACATGTCTTTACACATTTATATCTAAGTAACTCAAGGTCGATTATGTTGTATGTTGACTACTATAAACACATGACGAACTTGTAAAGACCTATCAATGACGTCGCTGACTTAATATTTTTTTTATGGGAAAAGTATGGAAATTGATCAGAACTGACCAATTAGCAGTACGAGTAATGATTGGAATATTGGTAAATAACAATTYACATAGGGTAACATTACTAGGGATTATACTCATTGTCTTTACCTGGGCTGTCCAGGAATACCCTGTCCAGGCATTCCAGCTTGTCCTGGTATTCCCGCTTGTCCTGGCATTCCAGCTTGTCCGGGCATTCCTGCTTGACCGGGCATTCCTTGKCCKGGCATTCCTGCTTGTCCAGGCATTCCTGCTTGKCCRGGAATTCCAAGCTGCCCAGGTACTTGTTGCTGAGGCATAAACTGCTGATTTCCTGGTTGTCCAAACACCATTCCCTGTTGTTGATASARGATACCACTGGCTGCTTTGTTCTGAAGCATCTTTCTTTGTTGTGCTGTGAAGTTAGGTGCTCCTTGCCATCCCTGGCGAGCCTGCCGTCTGTTACGCTGCCGAGATTTGGGTTTTGGTTGCTTTTCATCAGGTATTGCTTTAGGTTCTGGCTGAGTAACGGTAATAGTTGGTTGTACCACGCCGGTAGATGAACCTGGCGTTCCTGGTGTACCAACTGATTTAAAAGGACCTAGTCGAAATGACAAAACAACCGTAAGATTTCCTAGTACAATCTACATGAGTGTCGCTTGCTTATGTCTCGATCGCAGACTATTTTTTGATGAATCCAAAACTTCTCTTCGTCGAGGAACTTTTTTCGCCAGGAACAGTCTGCGACCAAAATCATCAAAGTATTGAATCATTGAGAAAATAATTCGGACAGACAGACAGCATCTTTACATACCTTTAACCTCAGCAGGCGTCTGAGGAGTKGACGGCAGACTCGACTTATCACCACCCTCCTCCGCTTCCATCTTTTCATCTTCRTCATCATCGACATCATCATCATGTTGTCTGCTTATAAAATAACTGTTTGGCTTTCGCCTGATATGTGAGTGATGAAGAAGTTTACGGAACTCTTGTTCGTAACGTGACGGTCGGCGTTCTATACGTACGGCACCAAACCAAGACCAAGCAAAAGGTGCCGGGTTTTTGTGCCCCTCCATAAGGTCCCAGGCACTTATTTTTTGCTTTCCATTAATCTTWAGTCCCTGTACATTCGATTGCTTTTTGTCGCCGTTATCTTTTTCSACKGTGTGTACATTGTGAGATAGGGAGGGGAGGGGCAGTAGTTGTTTGCACTGAATAATATCCATAGGRCTTTTGCCTGCRAGCTCACGCTTCAGTTTCTTAAAAAGGGTTGCTTTGGTAGCTTTTCGTGCTTCATCAGAACCTTGACCACTGGAAGTCTCAGTGTTGGTTACCACACTTATCAAWACAGATACCATATCTAACACGTTGGTCAGTAGTTCTCTAAAACATGAACAATGAACATGAAAATTAAAATTTCCATTCACACGACAAACAAACAAACAACCCTGACAACGGCATTTAAACCCGCCATTCCAAATTACCCCACGATGTGAAATGTTAGACTTTTCCCTTAAAAAACGAAGAATTAACTCCTTTGCATTCCCACAATTCAATGAAGTGGGTTATCATTGACAAACATACTTTTTTGATGGAAGAGATTCTGCTGTAATTGTCCCTGAGCTAACCAGTTGGAATAACAACGTCGCCCAATCACTAGAAAGCGAAACACTTCGTTGTATGGTATCAAACATTGCTCCTACTAAACTTATWCGCAAATGTAACGCTTCTTGTAAAGCTTCTTTACTCTTGACATCAGCTGGACAYCTTTCCTCAGACGGAGCACTAAGAAGTTGKGTTATCTGCCGACTTATMGACATCAGAAGACCTTCTCTCTGTTCTTCTTGACCTTTAAGGCAAGCTAACACTAGTGACAGGAAAGGCTGTGTATGGACCAGAATGGGACTAGAGATAAAGCAATGATTTGTTATTATCATGTTATAAACGTTTCTGTAAATTAAAGCACAGACTTATTTATAAAACAGATTGTATGCGGGATCCCTGTGGTGGGATGAGCAAAAGAAAATCGAAAATATGTCTTACTTGGATGAATCAGAGTGTGGTTTCCACCACTTGGCAGTACCAAGAACCTCCCCAGCAGCCTTGAGTAGCCGCCCTTGCACTGAGCTGGGTAGCCTGGAGATCAATGGCGCTACCAACCACTCTGGGCCTTTGATAACGCCTGACTTATGGCTGCCGCTTGCTGTAGTAAGGGATGAATCATGACGTTGGACAAACACGTTCATTGCTGCTGAAGCTACAGCGTCCAAAAGACAACCCATGTCCTGTTTAAATACGACAAAAAATGAACATAAAGAACTAGATACAAGAGACAAATGAAGGTCCAACTAACCTCTTTCGATGCTTGTTTAATCATCAGTTGAAGCTCTAGCCATGACTTTCTTAATGACCATTGATCTAGATTCTGTATAGAGCAAATAGTCGTTAATATGAAATTRTCCACGTTCTGGGATGTACTAGTACAGGGGAAGAGTACAAGATGACGTCATTGCAATCTATTGAAACTCAAAACAAACATATTAAAGAAACAAAAAAAACAAAAGACATTTTCTTATTCTAAACAAATCGACACAMAGCATCAACRKTCAGATTTCTATATAATATCCAAAGAGTATATTTGTTTTTTCACCTGCAACACGCGACCAGCTGCTTCGTCGACTGATTCCATTTCAATGCTGGACGGTAGAGAAACSGAGCCTCCAAGGCATGATGGGATACCAGCAGGATAGCAAATCAAATGGAGGAGTTTTCTCAGCTGAAAGAATTGAAGTATGAAGAGCTATAAGCAGAGATGCATTTTTAATATCCAAATCGTAAGTGAACTCCAGTGAACTGGAGATTAAGTGCAATAGTATAAAATAACATACGCCAACCTGGTTGACCGTCAATTCAGGATCAAGTAGCAGTTCAGAGGAAAATAAAACCAATGGATCTTGCAGGCATCTTTCTCTCACCCACTCCTGACCACATATCACTTGTAAGGTGTAGCCTGCAAAAGCACTCAAGTTGGACGAACCAATGGCTGAAAAGAAACGAGAAAAAAAATCAATTATAACGAAAAAACAGATATACAACAGCACTTCCTCTTTGATWTTGCTATCGACAGCAACACGACACGAAATCCTGTCAAAAGGAGAATGAACTGTCATTTTTTACTGAGTACCTGGTTTGCTTGTAGTAAGTGGTGTTGAGAAGATATCACCAGGAGCAGCAGTGCCTTCTGGGAAGTCATCCAAACGTGAAGAAAACAAACCTCTGAAACTATCATCACGTGACACTTGGCTAACGCCACTGCCACAACGCCCTGGTGACATGATTGATGTTAGAAATATAATCAAAGCAAACAAACAATCTATCAGGCAGCCAAATACACATCAAAGCTTTCTTGTAAGACATCAAAACTAGCTTTAATTGAGAACATATCTAACAAATACCACAAGAAATAGGTAGACTAATCACGCACCTGATTCTGACAATCGCAACATTGCTTTCAAAATAGCCAGCACAGCGTGAACTCCAATATTGTCATGCGCAGCAGAAAGTAGGTGATGGTCCGGTGACGACTTAAATGGAAACTTTGAGACACTTGAATGATCATGTGACATGAAGTCTGTAGTCTCGTCCAATAAGCGTARGAGAAGATGACATGTAAGTCTTGCGCCTGATTCAGCATCTTGGTTCTCACCACCTAATAGAGCCGCAAACAAATGATTTAGTTGCGCCAATAATGTTGAAAAAGAAACTGTTTCATATACTGTCTAGTTTAAACAATGTAAATAATYACAGCATTACACGAGGCCTTGCATGTTTTCTGAGCAGGAATGCATAAGCTCTCTAATATAACATATATAGACAAGGGTTTTGTTCAAAAGAGAAGATTATTCCATGTTTTGTATCAAACCTACCAATTCTAATAGCATCTAGCAATGAATCCATAGCSACTTGGTAAATGACATCTTCTAGTGAGAAACATCCTCTTGCAATCATKATAGCCGTGAATGTAGCCACAGATTCGTGAATCGATAGATCGCTGACCTGAAAAAAAAAAACAATGGTTATCAAAAAAGCTTTCCAACTTGTCTACTTTACTAGGTTCTTGAAAACACATTCAGTCACAATTATCATAAATAACATAAACTGCTTGAATGAGTCGTGTATTTACCTCAACTTCTAACAACAGATCTACAAAACCATAAGAATTAGTTGATGAACAGCACAAGGCTTTGAGTACACCAAGCCATTCAGAACTGAGTCTTCCACAGTGAGCAGTCACTTCTGCACAGAGTACAGCAATATCATGTARCCTGGAAGAAAAACTTTCGTTACAAAATTTGGTAAAAGATACGAAGATATATTACATTAATCCTCAATAATCACTATCATTACGTCTAATATTATCAATAATTTATTATTAGTTATAAATAAAAGTCACCTTTCACTGTTCTGACAGTTGCACACGTTCATCATGGCATTGCACACAAAACTGTACACATCAGATGGTTTYTTGTTGGAATGTAGATGCTCCCATATTGCATTGATTCTCAACATTCTATAAAACAACAGAACATATATACTAACTGTTGCAATATAAATGATTGACTACAATATCATTCTCATTCCATGCTAGAGAACTCCTTTCTTTTTTTATACTTGACGAGAACCTCACTTGCTTATAGAATTTGATACAATATAAATCTATTTCCTTTGAATTAGGTATAGTAAAATAGATGTATTTTTCTAACCTTGGGTTATTGAAAAACTCAGACATATACTTAGGATCATACTGGGCTGTGGARGGAGAAGGCTTAACACTTGAACAAATGTTCTTCTTGATTTTGGTGTGTGCTGTACTAAAAATATCTGCACATCGCATCTGTATAGACAACAAAATAAACAGATTGACTTAGAGAAGAAGTAAATAATGTGTTGTTCAATAGAAGAATATTTGTGAATGGCATGACTTATTATAAGCTGTGAATACCAATTTTTAAAGTGATAATATATATTTAATCCACTTCATATYCCATTGATAAACTAACACAAATTAAAGGACACAATGAGTTGAATCAAATGTATTTAAGCTTAAAAAATGCATCCAAGCATTACCTCTAAGTTTGCACTTGATGAATAGATATCATGAAGATAGGCTAAAATACACCTCTCAGATGATGTGCACATACTTGGATCTGATATATTTTCAACTGTTTGAAGAAGACTAAACAAAATAAAACACATAGATTTAAAATGAAAAGCATCATTTCATAATTAAATACTCTTTGCACTCACCCTTTAAAGATTCTTGCCAGAATATCAGGCATCAATGATAAACATGTGTGATAATGTCGAAGCATAGCTATAGTGACAATAGCTTTTGATGGTTGACTGTCAATAGAGGATGTAGGGGGAGCTAAAGGTATTACAGTATCTTCATCTGGTATTAGTGTAATTGCAATAAAGTCTATCAGTCCTTGAACATCACCAGAGATTTCAAAGAGATCAAAAACAAACACAAGTTGGTCAATACTWGGTAGAGGTCCTGTTAGACCAAATACATTTGGTGTCTGGTTGCGCATGTCTTGAAGAGGACTAGTGCACTCTGCAATAGCCATGTACTGCTCAAAACATGGAAGACTTGAGTACTTGCTACAATGAAGATAATCATAGTAATTTAACTCCTGGTATAATCAATACACGCTACAAGTCCATCTGTATTCAAGTACCTGTACAAAGTTGATATCTTTTCTTCAAATGCTCTTCTTGTTTTTAATCCTGAAGCTTTTAGACCTTGGCTGTATTCATAACTWCCACCATATTGAGGACCTTGGAAACAAGMAAAGTTAATTCAGAATTGTTTTCTWTGAAAAATATGACKCTTTAGTARAAATAMKYCTTACTTGCTAAGTCATGAAGCATTTTCTTTAATGAGTTTGTGATTTCTTTGTTTTTGTGAATGGCCTCAGTCCTTGCTTTTCCCACACCATACAGAAGAACAAGTCTCTGGTTGATATCATGCTGACTTGCACAATCAAAAGGAATGGGRAAGTGTGTAGCGTACTGTACATGCTGAGATTTCTTGGTGGAATGCTGTTTGAGTTCTTCAAGTGTGATATCTTGTATATCAGAYGAKGTGTTGATGTCACCTTGTTCAAGYACYTTCAAGCTCTCTTGGGTAACTGGAAGTAAAATATAGTTAATTTAGAAGAATGGCCAAAACACCTTGATAAAACAGAGTTTACAAGTTGAAATCTGCATGAATTGTCTTATAATATTGATATTATCATTAAGGTAATGATATCATGATAAATATGAAAATGATGAAAGTGATGATGATGATAATAATGATTGATGATCACTTCATTTAGTAAGGACAACATAGGTTACAAAATGTTCAATAATACTAACCATGAGATAATGTAGCATGAGATGMATCACCTCCAAGTGATATATGTAATGATTGTGGTGTTATATGTGGGTCATGGTCCAGGAAGGTTTCATGGTCACCCTGGTCAAGAAGTTGTTGAAGTCTTTCTTGGTGGAGAAGTAGCTCTCTATCAAGCTCCATCTGCTGATTGCTACCTAACACATCGTCATGACTGGTCTAAAAGGAAAACAAATACTGAATCAAATCTTCTGAAAATTAGAATTACTAAAAATACTTAAAATATCTTCAATTTAGCAAGCAATAAAGTATCAATGTCTTATTATTAGGACTCATTACCATGGTAACATCAATACTGCCATGATTGACATCYCCTTCCTGTACRCATTCCTCGATGTGCTCCAATTCAGGGGGGTGCAGCACACCTGGTGTCTGTCTTGGAGGTGATGATACTGAGACAGGAGGTGTAGGTTGCAGATCWCCRCGTGATATGAGATTGAACATGTAAGCATTATGGGAAAAGACATCATGGCGGATTAATTCACCAAAGAGAAGAACAAGTTGAGCAAAGCTTGGATCACCCTTACTGTGTTGGTAACTTTCTATTAAATTGAACAACAAATATATCATGTTCTCACTTCTTTGAATAAWCATAATAAATACACTTTAGACAGGGTGATAAGATGTGGATATCGGGACTAATTGGATGAAATATCAGCTTGTCAATACACTACATGTCTTGTTTTAAGATGTTTGTAAGTAAACCCCCTTCCTGGGAGTCTCTTGTCTTTTCTCCCTTCAAAACAACCATTGACCACTACTGTATAATGATTCAGAAATAATAATTGTGTGTTTGAATGTACTCAAAACAATAAGTTCAGAAGAGGAACAAGTGGAGCATTCCCAGGCTGAATACTACTGTACTCACCTACAACAGGAGCATAGTTATCCAGAAAGTTATACAACACCTTTTGACATACCGGTGTAGTATTGGACTGACTACTACTGTCTTCTTTCTACAAACAGTGACAACAATGAATGCAATTAATAATTATTCAAAAAATATAATTTCAGTATAATAAATAAGTATAATGATCATTATCTGAGATGTAAAATGATCAATGAATAATCTAAGATTCAATTTCAAAAGAATTGACTGAGTATTTCAATAAACTACCTCATTCAACATTTCCATCTGTCGTTTTTGAAGAAGTTTAGCAACCACAACAGCACGATGTTTCCCAACACGATACTTTGTGATAGCCCATTCGCATAACAACAGAATTATGGCTTGATCTGTCAATGACAGCTGTGGGAAGTGGGGAACAAGTATTAAATCAAGGTTTGCAATGTGACAATTGATGCAATGATTCCTTTATTTCAGATCGCCACAATATTTCTAATTATTGTATTAGGGAAGGAGGATGCCTAAAAAGTTGGATGCTAACCTCTTGTGTTTCTTTTAAAGGAGGAAATATCTTAGAATACAACAGATCAACRGAGCTCTGTGTTGCTGCTTTATTAAAATTAAACTTGTCCAAGATGTCCAGGGTAGTAAGAACACGTTGCACGGCAAGTGCTGAAATACAGATATCTAGAATAAATAAAGAAGGTTAGCCAGATTATCTAGGGAGGGGTGGGCACATTCAAATGAACAAATYAAGTTTGGTATTACAATAATATGGTCTCAAAGTCTTGATTCATCCATACAGTAATAAACAATAAAGTATAATAAGTCTTAGGACTGGTGTTTTCTTGCACTTTTTACTGTCATTCGTCTAATAATACACTTCAGTTCACAACAACACTAAATCAGTGGTGTAGCAAAAAGTGGCAGTGAAAGGCAGAATTTTGATTTAAAATGATGAAATGTTTGAATGGCAGCTGACTCCACAAAATCCCCCAAGACTTGACATCATAATACCATTCACTATCCTAACAAGAAAACACCAGGTAATGAAATATAACCATCAAAAGCATGTAGGTGCCCAAAACTTGAGAGGATGTAGAATTCAGTTGTAGACAGAGGAATAGATGTCAGTCAGGCTGGTCAAAGATGAAACCAAGTACACAGAATGATGCTAGACACTACAAGATGAGAAACCTTGGACAGATATACAAGAGAAATTAGCTTTCTTGTACTATACATAATGTATTGTATATTTAACTGTCATATTTATTTTCYCTTGATATATTGAGGACTRTTTTATTTAACATGCCTTTGGTCTCATTGTGGGTATTTCATTACAAAACCATTTTTAATTTRCCCTCAAAGCTCACTCAYKTTTCTKTTATCAACATTATAGAAGTTCATGRAACATCTCTGTTAATCATTATAATCCATTATGCCTTATGTTACAGTTTGTTATAAACAGGGACCGCGGAGGGTGAATTTGTTTGGGGGGGCTACCGGCGAGGAGGTATTAGGGGGGTTCGGAAATTTTTGAAATCTCGGAAATGTCATTTCCAGCGTTTTGAGGCGTTATCAATTTTACCGTACACAYGGTCTATCAATAAATCACAYAGACTTCGCAAAAAAGCTTCAATTTTAATTGTTTAAGCTCAGGTTTTACACAATTTTTATAGAATATATATGGTGAAATTTCATAAGGAGGCTCTTTGCTTCTTTATTTAAGAAAATTCAAAATGTCGGAAAAATTATTGGGGGGCTGCAGCCCCCAAGCCCCCCTGCTCCGCGGTCCATGATAAAGGTAATATTTAGGTCAAAGTAAATGAATTATTAAGAAGGATGACTTTTACAAAACTTTGTTACATTCATRTGTTAGCTAATATAATGTTTAGATAAAAAGTATGCCATGGGTACAATTCTATTTGACTGTATTAATTAATCAAACTAAAACATAATCCATTGGAAAAAGGCATGCTTAAATCTTTACACAAAACAAAATTTTACAATGAAAATAAATGATTCAATACACAATTAAAAGGTTAAAAAAATAAATTAAACATTTGAAAAAGTTATAACTTTTACTCTCTGGATACTGTGACACTTTATGAAATACCTGATAAATGTTAATCACTGCTAACATGTATGTATCACAACTGGGAAAGACATTTTAGTATGTGAATAGTGGTGGCAAATGGTAAGGTTTCTCCATCACTTGTACCCTTAGATGCTGGTAAGACGTGACTATAGTCTGGTATTTTAACCTTTTAGAGGTAAAAGTCAAAATGTGCTCAATCTCAAAAACAGTCATGTATCATTTGCCACCTCTACATCATAAATGTATCTACTATAATCTGTATATTAAATACCGTATGCTCTATTTATCAATTGTATCCTGTTAAAAAGTAATCTTAGTCAAACAAAACTAAAGAGCATTCAAAACATTTACAACTACTTGATTACTATATGATTCCAATCATCTCTTAATATTGGTTTCATATCCGCCYCATGGGTTTGATTCCAAGACCACACAAGATACAACTCTCCACCCAGGTGCATAAATGGCTATCGGTACCATCAGGGTATAAAAAGTTGTGCCCACCCCTACCATTCTGGGAGAAGCTAATGAGATAAGAGCCACTTTGGTKACCTCCAACTGTTATTCACAATAAGACAGTTTATCAATAAAAACTATAGTGACTGGATGCAAAAAAATAAAAATCATTTAAATTACTGCTTTAATGCCAAGCACATGCATTTAATTTACTAGAAATTAACCTACTTATTACTTAACAGTATTTCAAATTAAGTACTTTACATCAACTTAGCGATAGAAAGCTCTCTTATGTATGTCCAAGAAAGGAAAGCACAACAGGTTGGCAGCAGAAAGAGAAACCATGAATGAATCTGAGTTAGCAACAGTAGTTAGGAAAAAGAATGAAGAAGGGATAGTCTGCTTTATCAAGCAAAATATTTAAGTCATATATATGTGTATGATAATGTGTTATAATTAGAGAGAAATCATTGTTTGTCCTTACCTGATGTCTTGTCTTGGTATTTATCTGGTGACCATCTTGATTCAATAGACTTTCCTCTTGTTTTTATTTCATCTTCACTTGCTATCAATGCCATCATTACCTAAAAGTAGCTCATCTTCAGTTTAATTAATATTTAACTTAAGGCAGTTTTAGCAATCCAGATAAAAAACTAGATGTATGGGTGTGGAGGTACATGGATGGGGACATGGATGGTGCAAAGAGGAAAGTCAGTAAAGTCTGCTTTTATATTCCAAGGAGATTTGAAATATTTACCTCAGGACTGAGTGTTGTCTGTCCATTAATCATTGGTGTTGGTAAAGATGAAGGTGCCATTGCCAGGCGGTCAAGTGGTGAACCTAATACAGTTACTTTGCTACCACTAGGATCATTACTAGGTGTGGTATTGGTTTGACTGCCAGGAAGTACAGCTGAATTCCATATCAGAGCACCAGGACAACTAATAGTTACAGCTTGTAAGATTGCTGCTAAGGCTAAGACAAGTGAATTATGCTGAGGACAGTTCTTGTACTGTGACAGGACAGACATTTGGCCATTGACAGGACTAAAAACAAACATATCACAAATATTCATGATGAAATAGTAATGTACATGTATATGGGCATGACTGCTTACTTTGTAAATTACAAAACTATAGCATTTGCAATGCAATATTCAATCCTATTGAAGTACCTTTCAGTGGTGTTAGCAGTAGATGAATTACTTGAGGGTACCCCAGCTACTGTTGTCTTTCCACCAATGGCTGTCTGAGAGACTGGGGCAGGTTGTTCAGACTGCATTTGCTCAGCAGCTGAATAGAGAGTTGACAGCTTCTTTGTACAAACATGAGAGAGATTTCTTGCCAAGGTTTGAGAAAGGACTATCTGGTCTACATACTGGTGGTAAATAAATAGATACACAATTGTAAGCTTATCATCAAGTATTAAAGTTGTCGGCCATTGTAAATCAAAATTAGTCAAGATCGGTCAAAATTACAATCAGCCGATCACATTGTCACAGCAAGTGACTCAATCAATGAAAACGTCTAAGTTTTAACATACCCTCAGCACAAGTGGGATAAGATATTTCAGTAACACATCATCACTAGCTTTGCCTTTTTCAAAAACATCAAGCAACCATTGTAGGAACTCTTGTCTGTCCAGCAGACTTTCCTAAAAATTCAATAACATTATTTATGACATTAAACATGAATATAAATGCACAAAGATTAATGAAATGATAATAAATATTTTATAGAATATAATGCTATCAATCTTCACCTCTATTTTCTATAATTTTCTTTCTCCTCAAAYCTACTATTCTATTGTTTACCTCATATAACCAGTTAGCCAGTCTAACKGTATAATTCCAGTATCTCTGAGACTGTTCTACTTCTGGAGTCATTCTCTGCTGTAACTGTGATGATGTTATTCCTCCAAAATGACTCTGATAATAATCTGACAGTTTGCTCAACTGGTCTCTTAAATACTTTGTCAATGAATGAGTCCAGTCTGTAATGGAAATAGGAAAATGTAATAATGAATATCATACTGTTCTATTGTGGACCACACCCTAATGTAGCCATGCATGGACCCTCTACCCTTGTATGGACCCCTTATAYCAACTTTACACYAGATATGCTCMMACAGTATTCAACTATGCCCTACAGATACAATCCACCACCAATCACACCCTACAATTGTAGGTATCCAAGYACGCACMCCTCAAATTCACCTTAATCCTGGTTACATTSYACTTCCTGACCACACCCTTGGTATCYATTTATGTGCCCCCTAATTCTTCCCCTCCTCCCTCCCACCCTATATTCAACWATGCSCTTCATAGATCCCACTCACTGACCACACCCCAGAGCAAGGTCCCTCCATAAATCATTTGCAACTTAGATACAGAGAAGTGTTGCCYTTCTATAAAGTCATATTGTGACTAACAAAACCCTTTGTAACCCCTCACTAACCATCCTCATGTCAACAAATTCCTGACTCTGTCTTACTGGTGATTATGCAATACAAACACAATTCACTACAATACCTATGGAAGGATCTCCTAAAGAGCGTTTCTTGTTTTTGGCCTCTGATATAACTGTATTGTATGCTGATGTCATTTTRATAAACCATGTCGCTCTTAGCATGGGTACTCCATTATCACATAAACTACTAAATATTTCTTCCCTCTTGTTGAAGATAGGAACCTAAAGTACATAAACATAACATTATACAGCTGTGTTATAAAGAAACAAAGTGAATATTGTAAACAATCACCTTCTTTGCCAGTGCTGTCAGTGGTTTGCTTCCAGCAAGATCTTGAAACCATACTTGAATATTACTTCTAGACCTTGCTGTGACCTTCAAGAATATCAATCAAATATAACTTAACRTAATCTTGACCAAAGAGCTTTGTATGTGAGCCTGGCATATCTGGGGCATCRCATAKAATGGAGGGGTTATCTATATTTAGACCACAAAYATTAAGGAAGAAATACCTTAATAAAGGGTATGCAATAATATGTAAAAAGGGAACAAGGAATACTAGAAACATGCATAACAGAAGGCATTATTGAATTGTAGTATCATGCTATARGGTGGTAAAAAAAACAATAAACAATTATTAAACATTCTTCATGTTTATTTATATATTATTACTGATTATACAGTGTATATTATTATCTTCTTGTAGACATGAAGAAAAACCCAAAACATTTTTGCTGTGTTTTTATTATCAAATTTAAAGGGTACTGATTTTAATTAMAATATATTCACGTTTTAAGTTACTTACATTCCAGAAATTTTCTTTTGCAATTGTAGACTTTTTCTTGTTTCCATCTTGGTGGGTATTTATCTTGTGYTTTTCATGAGTAATGTTGTTAAAGCTTGATACGAACTAGAGATAAGTTAATGATTTACATTAAGCTTAATCTTCAAATACGTAGAGTGATTTATTATCTCGAGTGATTGGGAACGAAATAATATCATAGTATTTCAAGAACAGATCATTCATATTGTAAGATTAATTGTGGACAAATGTTATCTTATAAACTGTTCAAATGGAGCGTAGGATCTTGTTTGACAAAAGTTATGAAATGCGTATCGAAAATTAGAAAGTTTGTCATTTGTGACAAGATTTGTGATCACTACATGTTTGAATGACATTACCTTTGATATTGGAACATTTGATACTATATCCTTAGCTGAGCCATACTACAGATGATAGAGTAGATCACAGTATAAGTACATTACAAGATATCGAGTTCATAAGAATCAATGCTTTGTTATCATGATTGTCTTTGTACCTCGTTCGAGCTTGTCATAAAAAGAGGTTGGTATGAAAAKCCTTTCTTGACATTTTCCTCTGTGAGTTCATCCTAATAAMGAACGATTTTRAATAACGGAAAGAGCAAAAGCGTTACGTGGAATATAAAAAGGTTACCTCTCGCTGTTTAGCGTCTTGTGGATAGACGTCTGGAGGGCCTAATCTTGGTTTTTTCAATGGTCGGCAACAAACGGCCGCCATGATGCGTCGAAGGCACCAGGCACCTGAGCCTGTAAGGATTACTGTACAGCGGTAACCATTGTTAATCATTAACTTTTCTAAATAATATTGTATTTCGCTTTTTTCTCCTTTTTTTATTTATTTAGTTTTTATCCTAATGTTTTTCTTAAGTTTGTATCATGTRACATCTTTGATTAAATATAATTATTATTTCATATATTTACTTTTTCCATGAAGAATATGCATAATATATTCATTAAGTCAATTTATGTAATTTCATTTTTATTTTTTTAAGTTTATTGCTATTGTATATTGTAATATTTTATTTTATTTGTTGTGAATTTCCATTACATGGTAAGCGAAAAATATTAAAACTTCTAAAGTAATATGGGTCCCCTGTGGTACCTGCGCAGTCGCCTCCTTCTCCGCAAAACAACATGGCGGCCAGCATAAACTCTTTRAGGAGGCTGTATTTCGCCGGCATAAAGAGGCATGGAAGGCAAATTTTAAGGGTAATTGAAGCAATCACGAAAGTATTTTGTCTTTTATGCTCATTTATCAATTGAAACATTGTTGATTTACTACAGACACTTGGAGCAAATGTCACTGCACAACATCAACAACGACGTAATCTTTCTATTCATGAGTACCACAGTATGAAAATACTGGAAGATGCCGGTATCTTAACACCTAAAGGAGGTGTTGCAAATACTCCAGAACAGGCTTATGAAGTGGCATCATTGTTAGGTAAACTTATTTGGAAATATTAATGACCTTTAATGTGGCGGATCTAACGACATTTTAGGAACAGTTTTGTCGTCATTGTTTATGATAGCGTTCAAGCAAAAATGAAGTTTGTACATAAAATTGGAAATATAAGAAGGAGGATCAGATAAMAAAATGTCTATGTCAAGGTGCATGCATTATGTTATTAAAAAAAAATGATATCATGGTGATTCTAGTACGGTTATTAAGCTTATAGAAATATTGTAAATAAGCTTAAATGTAAAAGTTCTACAATCAATTGGTGAAACATTGTTTATGTCCTCCAGAYTTATCTTCCTTTGTCAATGTTTTTCATATTTAGTAAAATCTAATAATTCTGTTGTCAGATGAGTCTGAAAATACTGGTGATATGGTGGTCAAAGCGCAAGTACTTGCTGGGGGGCGAGGAAAAGGAGTATTTGAAGGGGGATTCAAAGGAGGAGTAAAGATTGTCTTCTCGTAGGTTTTCCTCTTTTTATCAATGCCTATATGACATTATTAGATAATTGTTAAAAAGAAAAATAAGGTGTGTAATAATTACTGTTTTGGGTGTTGGGTTACTAGTAAGGGGGAGGGGCATTTTTACATTTGTCAAAAATTCTGGATAATTTTATGACAAGTTTTCATTCTATCAGACCTGAAGAGGCTCGAGAAGTTGCTTCAAGGATGATTGGCAAGAAACTGATCACAAAACAGACTGGTGAACAGGGTAGAATTTGTAATGAGGTAATTTTACTAGTAACATGAGGGTCATTGGTGTTGACCTTGACCTTGAATTGTACCTTGTGCAAGGAACTCTATCCTAACTTGATCAAACAGTTGTCTCTCTCAAATCTTTACCTCCTTTGTCGCATTGTCAACTATATGTGTCATTTTCCTAGGTGCTGATTTGTGAAAGACTCTATGCAAGAAGAGAGTATTACTTTGCGTTAGCACTGGAAAGAAAGTTTATGGTAATTCACTGATACTTACATGAACTTTTTTAATGTAATTTTTATTATAATTGGTATGTATTTCCAAGATTGCATCTCTCAGTACCACCTTATTTTTGTTGTTTTTATGTAAAGGGTGTTGTTCTTGTTGGAAGTCCACAAGGTGGAGTTGACATTGAAAAGGTTGCCAAGGAATCCCCAGAAGCTATATTCAAACAACCTATAGACATCTTCAAAGGTATTTCTTGCTTATCCAATTAAACAGTGTTGGGTAAAGTGAATAGATTTTATAGCTGAATAGTTCTGAAGTCAATAATCTGTTTTATGCGTAGGTCTTACAATAGAAGGAGCCCGTGAATTTGCCACCAAGATGGGTTTTTCTAGTAGTTGTGTTGAGCAGGCAGCTGAGTGGATGTTGCGCATGTACAATACTTTCATTGAAAGAGATGCTGTCTTACTGGAGATAAACCCAATGTCTGAAGACTTGTTCGGAAGAGGTTTGTAAACATCAGTTACTGTTTCATAACACAAGTACTAGTACATGTACTTCAATCATTATTCATTATAACAATTATTGAAATACAGAAAGTCCTTGAATATTGTTTTAATGATTGTTTTTCAGTTGTTTGCATGGACTGTAAGCTTCTGTTTGATGATAATGCTGGCTATCGACAACCTGAGATATTTGACCTTCGTGACTGGACACAAGAAGATCAAAGAGAAGTTGAGGCTGCGAAACATAACTTGAACTATATTGGTCTTGATGGAAGTATTGGCTGTTTAGGTAATCAATGTTGACTTTACAAATTAACTTTTGAATACTTTTCTATCAAAGATTACCTCAGCTAATTATTATTTCTTGCACAATCTTTTTCCTTTCTCATAAACATATCCCTCTGAAACTATCACTTTATATATGCATTGTATTGTTTCTGTATTTGGCTATTTTAGAATTTGTTCAAAGCCACCCTTGAWTTTTTTATATTCACAGTGAATGGTGCTGGCTTGGCAATGGCAACAATGGACATCATCAAGCTGCATGGCGGAGACCCTGCCAATTTCCTGGACATTGGTGGTGGTGCCACTATTGAACAGGTCCACTCTGCCTTCAAGATTATCACTGAAGATAAGAAGGTGAGATCTCAATGTGAGATTTTAGCTAGAAGTCACCCTTCATCAGAAAATGACTTGAATGTACAAAATTCCAATCTTGTTGCTACTATTTAATACATAATCCAGTRCTGGTTATGTATTTGATTATTTATACTACATTAATGGGTGTTTTAGGTTCATGCTATCCTTGTCAATATCTTTGGTGGAATTATGAGATGTGATATCATTGCTGAGGGAATTATTAGTGCTGCAAAAGAACTTGGTCTTACTATTCCAGTTGTTGTACGACTTCAAGGTAAAAATCATTGTTTTTGTGATGCTGATGATGTTAAAAGGGAATACTGAGAAAGTGATCTATGGTTTTCAGTGTTTTTAAGTTCATTTATTCCTTCAGGAACACGTGTTGAYGATGCTAAAGCACTGATTGCAGCAAGTGGTCTTCGTATCATTGCTTGTGATGACCTAGAAGAAGCTGCTAACATGGTAGGTGCATTTTCCTATTATGCAAATGAGTATATGATAGTAAAATCTTTCCTTTCCCTTTCTATTGTTTCCAATTTTTGCTGCATTCTTTGTTCTTCCCTTCCCTAATCTCTATCATATTCTAATCTATTTCTGCGTGATTTAAAAGGTCGTCCGTGTTGCCAACATCATCGAACTAGCAAGACAAGTTGATCTCAAAGTCAAGTTTGAACTCCCTATTTAAATCAATAATTTTCCTTATTTGCTGCAATTCAAGTGGCATTTGTAAATTGACCTTTTGATTATTTTATGGCGGATATTGAATRATACTAATAGCTTGCCTTGTAAAGAACATGCATAGCAGACAATAAAGTCTTTTAAATAAAACCTGTTCCGTTMTCATCTTGTGATTTGTACAGTTCYACTTCTTTTTKSCYTCMAMYTTTTTACCCCTTTGTATTGCTATTCAAAAARTGTACAAAAGTGATGGCTTTGGTTATAAACGGAGAAGTCACTTATGTATGAACGAATAATGCAAGAATTATTCCATTGATCATGGCATCGAAATGATACATCCAATATTGCAAGAACGTTGTCATGTCATAAAGTAACAGTTGCAAACAGGAATTGATTCAAACAGATTTCTTCAATATGAGCGCTTGTATTTGTCATTAAAAAGCTTAGGTTTGTTTGTATTAAAACGTTCTTGCAATGTAGTGTGGCGCCCGGTTTATAAAACTAAATTTTATCATAGAGACGCAAAAAGTGGATTTTTATACATGTATAACATTAACCTTCACTGGAAGAGTTTTCTCAGGAACATTGCCGCCTTTTTAATTCTAAAAAATTATAAGGAAACGCCGCAACACGCTAATCATGCAGAGGAATGATTTAGTTGAGGATAGAAGGAAATGAAATAAATGATCTTCTGAACATAATGTCGTTAACCAATCGTCTCTCTCGTTGGCACGCAAAGTTCGTTAAATAATCGTTAGAYATAAGAAGTCCTCTATGAATCGTGACTTACACTATCAGTTGCGCGCTAAGATCTTATGATCATTGACAAAGATCAACGGATGGGGATCAAACGCTCTGACTATCAAAATACTGTTGGTTGAAACGGATATGTTAACTTACTGGTAAATATGTATTTTGTATTCCTGACAAGTGCTCGTATCATCCGTCCCAATTCCTCCTTCTCTGGACGCTTGTTTTGCAGGCGCATTGAAAAATTGAAATAGAAATAATGTTAGTTCAGAAACGGATAACTCATCATAAAAATTAAAATAGAAAAAAAGAAAGGCAAAARCCAACATTGAATAGAAGAATAAAGTAAAAAAAGATAGCAACCCAAGGTGATACGATC